CATCAAAAATTAAGTACAATGTACTTATTGTGTTCATATTGTATTGCAAAACACTTTTGCTGCTATTGAGGTGGGATACGGGTAAGGTTAGGGACAGGTTTGTTGGTATGGGTAGGTTTAAGGGTGGGTTAACTGTGTAATTTAAAAATGTAATTACAGAAATTAATTACAGATGTAATTACATGCAGGTATTTTTAAAATATAAGTACAATGTAAAAACATGTATGTACACAGTGCAATGTACTTTTTATTTTTGGTCACTTTTGATCAATTTAATGCATTCTTGTTAAATAAAAGTGTTCATTTCTTAATTTTAATTTCAAGCAAAAAACAAATCTTGCTGACTTTAAAGGTGACATCATGAAAATCTGACTTTTCCAGGTTTTATTTATTTTATGTTTCATGCAGATATTTTTATGTATAGTTTCACAAAACTGAAGTCAAACCATTCTGTTTTTGCTTCAAATTTCGAAATTATACAATGTAATTTAGATTTAAAAACTGATCATGTTGCATATTTGCAGCATCTTTGTTTGGATCATGATTAAAATGCAGTGGTTGCCTTGGAAAGAGCGGAAAGAGCACAGGCAAAGCCTTATTTTGTTTATATGAAGACATTGTAATATTTTTCAATTACTGTATTTACTGTATTTTTAATCAAATAAAAGCAGTTTTGGTGAACATAATAGACTTTTCAAAAACACAAATCTTTCTAATCCCAAACGTTTGAACAGTACATTATTTTATGCTGATAAATAAAAATATGAATACAAATAAATAAAATAGATTTAAATATTTAAGAATACAATACAGTTGAAATGTCTGGGTAGGTGAGGTGTTATTTAAAGGGGTCATATGATGCGATTTCAATTTTTGGACCCACTTTATATTAAGTGGCCTTAACAACTATGTACTTACATTTAAATGAATAATTTGGTACAATGCACTTAGTATGCTGAAAATATTGTACTGTGTATAGACCTAAAAAGTCACAAAGACATTTTCAGTTTATTTACTACCATTTTGTTTGTTCTTCCTTCACTCATGTGTTCTAGATATAAAAGCAGACGAGCGAAACACATGCACATTACCTGAAACGGTTGCCCCCGTCCCTCAGGAGATCGACCCGACTAAAGAGAACAGAATTTTCTTTACCTACTCTGTGCACTGGGAGGTGAGACACTTCGCCGCCTCAGTCAAGAATACTGTCTGTGCCTTACATGATCTTGTTTGTCTCATAAACAGCTGCTCTGTTCTTCATTGCAGGAGAGTGAAGTGAAATGGGCGTCTCGCTGGGACACGTACCTCACCATGAGCGATGTGCAGATCCACTGGTTCTCCATCGTCAACTCTGTAGTCGTGGTGTTCTTTCTGTCAGGTGAGGCTGATTTTCATCTTCATACTCATTTGTCTGCTTTATTTCGAAGCACTTTTTCGATTGTACTGGTGTCTTGGCATCTAAGCAAATGTATGTCTGTAGGCATCCTGAGTATGATCATCATAAGGACGCTGAGGAAGGACATTGCCAACTACAACAGAGAAGATGACATTGTAAGATGCTGCATTCTGATTGGTTGCTTGCCTTCTGATTCTTATCTCTTACATAATGTTATCTCAGTGCTTTTTATCTCTGTTTGTCACTAATAGGAAGACACAATGGAGGAATCTGGTTGGAAGAACGTCCATGGTGATGTGTTCCGCCCACCTCAGTATCCCATGATTCTTAGCTCCCTGTTGGGATCTGGCATCCAGCTCTTCTGCATGATTCTCATTGTTATCTGTGAGTATTACGCTTATCTTTTTGTTTTTGTTTTAGGGTAGCATATGAAGCTAATTGCTAATGACCAGGCCTGTATGGAATCTGCGCGCTCAGAACTGCAGAAAAGATTTCCCACATAATTCGAATGACTGTCATTCATACAATGCTTCATATCCCTTGCTTGTTGAATGTTCATTCATTAAACATTTTTGATACATGATTCATAGATATGATGAAACTGCATGTGTGTTTTGTAGTTGTGGCTATGCTCGGGATGTTGTCTCCATCCAGTCGAGGAGCTCTGATGACAACAGCCTGCTTCCTCTTCATGTTTATGGGGTAAATACACAATAAAAACACCATGTACTTTCAGGTTTTGCTTTTTCAAACGTGGCCATATTTAAACACTGCCCATCAAATAAAAGCAGTTTTGGTGAACATAATAGACTTTTCAAAAACACAAATCTTTCTAATCCCAAACGTTTGAACAGTACATTATTTTATGCTGATAAATAAAAATATGAATACAAATAAATAAAATAGATTTAAATATTTAAGAATACAATACAGTTGAAATGTCTGGGTAGGTGAGGTGTTATTTAAAGGGGTCATATGATGCGATTTCAATTTTTGGACCCACTTTATATTAAGTGGCCTTAACAACTATGTACTTACATTTAAATGAATAATTTGGTACAATGCACTTAGTATGCTGAAAATATTGTACTGTGTATAGACCTAAAAAGTCACAAAGACATTTTCAGTTTATTTACTACCATTTTGTTTGTTCTTCCTTCACTCATGTGTTCTAGATATAAAAGCAGACGAGCGAAACACATGCACATTACCTGAAACGGTTGCCCCCGTCCCTCAGGAGATCGACCCGACTAAAGAGAACAGAATTTTCTTTACCTACTCTGTGCACTGGGAGGTGAGACACTTCGCCGCCTCAGTCAAGAATACTGTCTGTGCCTTACATGATCTTGTTTGTCTCATAAACAGCTGCTCTGTTCTTCATTGCAGGAGAGTGAAGTGAAATGGGCGTCTCGCTGGGACACGTACCTCACCATGAGCGATGTGCAGATCCACTGGTTCTCCATCGTCAACTCTGTAGTCGTGGTGTTCTTTCTGTCAGGTGAGGCTGATTTTCATCTTCATACTCATTTGTCTGCTTTATTTCGAAGCACTTTTTCGATTGTACTGGTGTCTTGGCATCTAAGCAAATGTATGTCTGTAGGCATCCTGAGTATGATCATCATAAGGACGCTGAGGAAGGACATTGCCAACTACAATAGAGAAGATGACATTGTAAGATGCTGCATTCTGATTGGTTGCTTGCCTTCTGATTCTTATCTCTTACATAATGTTATCTCAGTGCTTTTTATCTCTGTTTGTCACTAATAGGAAGACACAATGGAGGAATCTGGTTGGAAGAATGTCCATGGTGACGTTTTCCGCCCACCTCAGTATCCCATGATTCTTAGTTCCCTGTTGGGATCTGGCATCCAGCTCTTCTGCATGATTCTCATTGTTATCTGTGAGTATTACGCTTATCTTTTTGTTTTTGTTTTAGGGTAGCATATGAAGCTAATTGCTAATGACCAGGCCTGTATGGAATCTGCGCGCTCAGAACTGCAGAAAAGATTTCCCACATAATTCGAATGACTGTCATTCATACAATGCTTCATATCCCTTGCTTGTTGAATGTTCATTCATTAAACATTTTTGATACATGATTCATAGATATGATGAAACTGCATGTGTGTTTTGTAGTTGTGGCTATGCTCGGGATGTTGTCTCCATCCAGTCGAGGAGCTCTGATGACAACAGCCTGCTTCCTCTTCATGTTTATGGGGTAAATACACAATAAAAACACCATGTACTTTCAGGTTTTGCTTTTTCAAACGTGGCCATATTTAAACACTGCCCATGTGTCTTGTCCTGCAGTTTGTTTGGAGGATACTTTGCTGGAAGACTTTACCGCACTCTTAAAGGCCACAAATGGAAGAAAGGCGCTTTCTGTGTGAGTACAAACTCTTGATGCATTTGTGGCATGAAAATAAACTAGATTACCTGGCTGAAAGAATAAAGAGATATAATAACATTTATGTTTATGTGTGTCACTCTAGACTGCAACTCTGTACCCAGCTGTCGTCTTTAGCATCTGTTTTGTTTTGAACTGTTTCATCTGGGGAGAACACTCTTCTGGTGCTGTAGGTATCTGGTCAGACTGATGCAATTAGCTGTTTAGGCAGAAATGTTATATAAGGCTATTTATGTGTTTGTTTTCTTGTTTGTTTGGTTTTGTGTTAATAAACTTTATTATTAATTTAAAATTAATAAGGAAACAAAACAGTTTAGCCATTTGGAGATAACGCTACCGTTCAAAAGATTGGGGTCTGTAAAAAAAATTTTCTTTTGGAAACATACAAAAATACAGTAAAAACAGAAATATTGTGAAATGTTATTACAATTTAAAATAACTATTTTCTATTAGAATACAGTTTATAATGTAAATTATTCCTGTGATGGCAAAGCTAAATTTTCAGCAGCCATTACTCCAGTCTTTAGTGTCGTGTGATCCTATATGCTAATATGCTATTCTGGTGCTAAAGGAACATTTTTTTATTTTTTAAGTATTATATTATCAATGTTGAAAACAGTTGTTATGCAGAGTATTTTTGTGGAAACTGGTAAATTTTTTAAAGGGTTTTTGATGATAAAAGAACAGCATTTAATTGAATAAAAAATATTTTGTAACAATGTACTTTTTTTTTAATCACTTTTGATCAATTTAATGCATTCTTGTTAAATAAAAGTGTTCATTTCTTAATTTTAATTTCAAGCAAAAAACTAATCTTGCTGACTTTAAAGGTGACATCATGAAAATCTGACTTTTCCAGGTTTTAAGTGCTATAATCAGGTCCCCGGTGCATCTACCAACCAAGGAAACGTGAAAAAGATTAACCCAGTGACTGTTTTCGAGTTTGAGCAAAACTTGCTAACTGTTCTGTCATTGGCTGCACAGAACACTATTTACAGTCCCAGCGTCAGAGGAGACAACAGAGCAGTGATTTATTAATTTATTTAATGTATATTGCTGCTGCCACACAGATCTAAAATGAACATGCAATTTATTTCCCAGCTGTTTACCTTCACAGACAAAACCGACTGTTTTTTGTAACTCGTGTGTTTTTAACGTAAACTTGTGTGTGAATGAGAACTTAGTTTAGTACTCACATGCTGTGACAGCCGCTTTCTGTCCATGTGCTTCAGATGTGTGCACTCAGAAAACCGTATATAAGAAGTTTAAACTCGTATGGTTTAAAACGCATGATTTCAGCGTAAACACGATAATCAGAACCAAAACAGATGTTTTTAGCAGGAACGAGCTGTAATGGCGCAGCTCTATTCTGGAAAAGGGGGCGGAGAGCAGCAGCTCATTTGCATTTAAAGAGACGGGCCCGAAAAACAGCGTGTTTCTGCTTCCACTCAAAATAGGCATTTTCAAAATGGTATAATAAATGATCTGTGGAGTATTTTGAGCTGAAACTTCACAGACACATTCTGGGGACACCAGAGACTTGTATTACATATTGTAAAAAGGGGCATAATATGTCTCCTTTAAACTTTTGGTAGTATGTCAGTAATACAGTTTTACTCTGTAAAGGAGTCATTAGACTTATTTAAACACTTGTTTGAAACGATAATTCATGAGTCTGTGTGATTCATTAGAAGAACAGCCATTTGTTTCAGACAGAAACTAGTCAAGTTGTATGCTTCAAGCAACTTCCTCTTATTCAGCTTGAATGTTCTTGTACACTGACTGCCATCTCTCATTTGCGCATATTTCAGGTTCCTTTCACTACAATGCTGGCTCTGTTGTGTATGTGGTTTGGCATTTCTATGCCTCTCGTGTATCTGGGCTACTATTTCGGTTTCCGAAAGCAGCCGTATGACAATCCAGTTCGTACCAATCAGATTCCCCGCCAGGTCCCTGAGCAACGCTGGTACATGAACAAGTTTGTTGGGTATGTGACACTCTTTGTGCAGTCTGTGAATAGTTGATTTAGCAGTTTAACTTCAGTGCATGCTTGATGTGATTATTGATCTCTCTCTTTAGTATCCTGATGGCAGGAATCCTGCCATTTGGCGCCATGTTTATTGAGCTCTTCTTCATCTTTAGTGTAAGTCGAATAATTTATATAGTGCATACATCTGGAAAATGTCATATATTGATGTTGTGAATAAATAAGCTCACTGAGGTGTGTTATACTTTCATATAGGCTATCTGGGAAAACCAGTTTTATTACCTGTTTGGCTTCCTCTTCCTTGTCTTCATTATTCTTGTGGTTTCCTGCTCTCAAATCAGCATTGTGATGGTGTACTTCCAGCTTTGTGCAGAGGTGGGTATTTGGTCATGGAGCTCAAGGTAACTGAGCTGTTTAGTATTTGCAACAGTAAATATTTGCTGTTACGTGTACAGCTATGCATTAAACACAACACCACAGGTATAATACAAATAAAATGTAATTACAATAAATCCACTCTCAAAACTTCTCCGGACAACATTTAGACCCTCTTGTGTGCCAAAATGCTGCTCCGTTTCATTTATTTGGTGTTTCTGTTTTACCCGTTGACCTCCTATAATCTGTCCACACAAAGACACTCACTCAGGCAGAAGATAAACAGGCAAATATTAAGAGTTATGATAACAAAAGCAAAGGTCACTTGATTTGAATGAACAGCGAGCATGCTAAACCACCTCTAAAATAGAGGCGATGTGCACTCGGTGTGGTACAACTTGAACAGAGCTGTCAGTAGACACTGAATAAACACCTGTCAATCATTGTGGCTCCTCCCCCTACAGGACTATCGGTGGTGGTGGAGGACATTTCTCGTGTCCGGAGGTTCTGCCTTTTATGTCCTAGTCTACGCTGTTTTCTATTTTGTCAACAAGGTAACTATCTTTACTTCAGCTTGTTACAGTAGACCCGTTTTATTTACTGAAGTGTCTTTCCTATTCAGCACCTTATGTTTTTAATGGCAGAGGGGGTGTACGACATTATTTTTGGCTTAAACTGGTATTAACCGTAAAATAAATTGATTCCCACTGTACACACATTATTTAGACTGAGTCTGATCTTTTTTTATATGCTCTGTACACACACACACTAGGGATTTTATGGCAGTTTGTGTTTCTGAGAATGAGATGTTTAAACAGAACCTTGTGTGACAAAAAAAAATGCCTTCAGCAACATTCATAAATAGTTGTAAAATAAATTCTCAAACATTCTAATTGTCTAACATTCATAAATTAAATAAAATTCTCTATTTTGACCACAGTCACTGTTCACACGACAGCTAAATTGAAAACTGTTTTCAAATTTACAGTAAAGTTTGTATTTATGAAAATGCTTATTTACTCAACTAATGGTTTTTGGTGGCGGAGATAAATTTTCTCCAACCAGTGGTAGGATGGGCAGATTGTTCGCGGAAGTCTGAAAAATTTACTTTACACTTTTTTTTTTTTTTTTTGGGGCACTCTTTGCACAAGAATGACATTTCACCTTTATAATTTTGAGAATCTACATTGATGCTAACCAAAAACCCACCCCCCACCAAACTACAGATGGATATAGCATCGATTAAAATAGTTTGACATTTTCTAGGACATAAAAGATTCATATTTACATGACTAGTCTATTTTTTTTTTTTTATCCAATAACAAATTTATCTCTGTTTTGATGTACTCAACATTTACATAGTTCTTTCTTTCTTTTTCCCTCCCAGCTGGACATTGTGGAGTTCATTCCCTCTCTGTTGTATTTTGGCTACACAACCCTGATGGTTTTGTCTTTCTGGCTGCTAACGGGAACGGTTGGCTTCTACGCCGCTTATGTGTTCATACGGAAAATTTATGCCGCGGTCAAAATCGACTGAAATATTTCTTTCAGTTTTTGTTTCCTTTTTTTCTGTTTTGTAAAGCAAGCACTGACGCGTGTGAATTGCTGGCGTGAGGTACAGCAGCGCCCCCCCCCTATGGACTGGAGGAATGAACGAGATGTGTTTTGTACACCTTTCTCTCCTGCTATCTCTGCCTCAGCAAAGATGTAAAGAAACCACATGAACAGTTCCATTTTTAATGTCTTGTATATCTTTTTGCACACACAACATGGGCCAAAGTGTGTCGATTGACTTTTTCTTTGTTTAGGTGGGGATGTTGGATTTTTGGGCTGGGTCTCATGCTTTTGAAGACATTGAGGGTTATCATTTTACAAATTAACATTTTGTATCCTTTTAATATAACATTTGATTTCAACTTGTTCCTGTCTTTGATTCAAAACGGAGTTCTTGAATGCTTGTCTTGTTGAGGGTGTGTGTGTGTGGTCATATTTTGGCATGGAATGAAATTATGGGATGTAAAGACATAAGGCAAGGACATTAAAAAAGTAGATTTCCTTGTGCTTGCTGGTCATTGGACCTAAAAGACTTTTATAATGATGCAGTATCGCATTGTTTGTTTGTTATTTGCCATTAAGAAAAAGGTCTGGTTTTTCAACATTACACAAATTTGATATTCCACATTAGAAAAGCCATTTTTATGTAAAAATCTTTCTGCCGTGTATTGACTTCACCTATGAACTATTGCTGTAGCCAAAAACAGATGTATGTTGGTGGAGTTACCCCAAAATTCAAGGGTATCAACACACGTGTGCAGTGCCCAGCAGGTAGTGGTATATTTGCTTACATCCATGGTACTTTATAGATATTAATTTAACATGGTTATCATTTTTAGCTCTCTCAAAACACAAGATACAATATTTGGATCCCAATTCTGACTCTTGTGCAGTGACGTGATGCAGGATTCAGTAGTTTAAAACATGGTAGCAAAATCTACTTCTGCGTTTGGAACGGTCTGGCTTCTTCATCTGTCGTCCTCACAGGTGACCATGAATAAATGCAAGAAATACAGAAAATATTTGCTACAGATGTACTTTATTCTGCCTGTTGCATTGGGTCTGTGTATGTTTATGGTGTAAATACAGTGCTTTATATTGTTGCATTTTATTTTATTTTTTTTTTTTTGTGGAGCTGTTTGTCCCATTATGTCTTTGTTTTAGGCAAAAGCATGTTTTTTTTTTCTTTATGAATCCTTTACTTTCTCTTTTAATAATGTCCATCTATAATGTATAAAACAATAAAGGTGCCAATATGTTGACATTTGAAACACCGTCCAGGTTTTGTTGAGAACATTGTTTGCTCGGCACGTTACGCATGAGCATTTTCTCCAATTCGGCCGTTCTGGGAGCGATTTCTCAGAAGAGTAGGAAGTCAGAGCCTTGGCTGTTCTTGGAATACAAGACTGTAAAACCTTAGATTCCTCCAGATTTAAGTCATTTTCACATGAGAAATTATGGTGTGTTATGTATTGTTGGTGGGCATTTTGGGCCTAAAACAACGCTTCGAGATGTGAAAGTATGGGTTTGAGATAGACTTTATAATTAAGCCTGGCTGCAGCTCAGTTTTTTATTACTTGGTATTGTGCCGTTCTTGTCTTTTCATTGGTGTGCTGTGGTGTGGTTTCCGGTTCTGGCCGTATGGTATGTGAATGGCAGTTTTCAGCCATAACCAACCCGTTTCTTCTCGCACCCTCTCCCACCGCTGCAGACAGGAAATCAGACGCTTAAAAAATGGAAACCAGAAATATGAAACCGTGGGTTTGTCTTTTAATCATTTTTAACATAACACATTACAAGTCAAATGGTACAATGTACTGTACAATAAGTAAATAGGTTTGTTGTAATGTCATCTCTTTGGATCAACCAATATACAAATCTGTCAACTTTACAATGCAGCAACTGACCGCAGGTGAGCTGTGTAACAAAAAAGCAGACTGTTTGTCTCCGTTATGCATTTTTTATTATTATTATTTTTTTTTACAATTCGTCCTGTCAGTCATCAGCTCCATGTTATATAAAATAGTGTAAGGATGAATATTCCATTTTTTTTGTTTTCACCTTTTTTCCAGAAGTCATGGTAATAAGCAAGTACTAAAAATAGAACGACTATATTGCTAAACAAGTTACATAAAAAGCTTGGAATGCAAGACATACATTAAGCTAAAATATATCAAACTACAAGTGGATTTTGTCCTCTGCGGATGTACCCATTTTCTCACTATAAGCCGAAAGAGCATGTTATTTGATAATTTTTCCTTTTCTTAAAAGTCGGATTGTTTTGATTTACCCTAGCTTGGTTACCTCATAATTTCCCTTAATATTTATGTTATAGGAACCAACTAGTATTTTGGGGGATAAAGGACAAGTGCATTGATACAACAGAGGAAAATATAAATTTAACTAGGTTAATCTGTCTTGCTGGTAAAAAAAAAACAACAAAAAAAAACACCTGAAAACTAAAATCAGATGCTGCGCTCCAACTATCCAGGTAGTTATTATATAAAACTTCATTTGAACCAAAAGTGCTTTTTTGGGGGGCAGAGAGCTGGGAATAATTTCACACCAGTTGAACCTGCCAGCTTGCTATTATAAATGCTGATTGAAAACACCTCAGTTATAGATGGAGTTGGAAACGTTTTTTCTTTTGTTTGTGGCATTGATGATTTGATCAAGTTTCAGAATTCAGACACTGAGAGATTCTGAGCAGGTTACTCTAACGTCTATTTTAAGATTAAATGACTTCCTCAAATGTATGACAAGACAACCTGGGAAAAGGGCCAATGCTGTTAATATTAGTGAAAATCGATCTAAAATACTGTTACTTTTTTGGTAAATAAGAAAAACAAAAATGACAAAGATGAATAAACTCTACACATCAAACTAATGGCACATACAAGATCAAATACAAAATTAAAAACATACAAACATACAAGGCTGAAAAATACTTTTTTTTTTTTTTTAAAGGTTTAAAAGTGCTAGAATTCAGATCAGCTCAAAGAAAACCCAGGGAGGACAAACTCAAAAATTGACAAAAGCCTTCTTTTATTCTGTTAAACGCATTATAATTTTTTTTTTTTTTTTTTAAAGTTTGGATAGCTTCAAGCCAAACGACAAATATATGTGAATTGTCAATTTTGTCTGTACACAAAATGTACAGTTCAAATCATTTTAAATGACCTTTTATGTTTACATTTTTTTTTTATTTATTATTATTTATTGGGAAAATTACCAAAAATCCATGAATGCCTGTGAATCATTATCAGCCCACTAATAGAGCAGGATGTAGGGAAAACTCAATGTTTTTGGCTTTCTTATGAAACAATTATTTCTAACTAAATCACTCTTAAAGTATAAGCAACACTAATTTAATTATTCGTTAGTTAGCAATTGTGCAAAAAAAAGTTTCTTCTCCCCAGGTTTTTGGTATGAAAAAAATAAAATAAATGAGGTGATGCGTTGTATTGTTTTGAGGTCCTGTTTCAACAAACAGAAAATAATATAATGACAAAACGACTAGGCAATATCCCAATCAAATGTCCCATGCTTTGAATGTCAAAGACCAGGCTGGTGACTTCTTTGTGTCTCTTTTCAGACCCTTTTCATAAAATGTTCATTCGAATCAAAGCAGCTGAGGAACAGAGAAAACGGACAAACAGTTCACGTGTACTACTGTACATGTTTTCTGCTAAAAGATCATTTGCAGTTTAAAATGTTTCCAGAGTGGTCTATGGTTGCTGGCAGCCACAGCACAAAGAGCAGCATAATATTGTTTCGTCTTAGTTTTGCGATGTGGCCTTTTACCTTTCTATGGTCTTTCCTGCTTGTGAGATATTCACATTCACTATAAGCACAGATGTGGACACAGAATAGATTTACCCAAAGGGATGATGTGAAGAGAAAGAGAGAACTATATCTGTTTGTATGAGGCACTGCCTTCACTGCAGGTACATTGATCATCGGTTTCTTTCCACACAACCCTTCCTCACATGGCCATCGGTAATGAATGATTATTTGGTAAGAACTTGTGCAGTCCACTTGCTGGGAAATGGCAACTTATAAGAGATTATATGACAAAAACTCCTCTAAATTCCAGTTTTTGTAATATCAAAACTGAACATTTCAGTGCGACGGTGTAAATGATCACGGAGGTTAAAATCTGTACAACCAAACACACAAATAGACAGCATCAGTCAGGTCTGATCGAATACTGAGAATAAAAAACGCAAACTGAAACCTGGATCACATTTTGGGCCTCTAGTTCATGCTCTAAAGATTAAAGACTAGTCCATTCTACTGGATTATGCCACTATTAGTCTATTATATGCAGGTAAAATCCCATCCTATTCATCTCCTTTGACTCACATGGAAAAACAAGGAACAGGAAAAGCTATAGGGAAAAGCTAATACTTCATCCATTTTGTTCAATATGATGCAAGATACATAATTCTGTAAACCTGCTAGACATTTTTTTTAAATCCATCAGCAATTTTTTTTAATACAACTATCTAAATTACAAAATGTTCTTAAAAAGAAGCAAATATAATATATATTTTTGATGTGGTACTTCGTACACTGCAAAAAAATATTCTTGTTTTTGTTTTGTCTTTTTTTCCATTCACATATACCAGGGTTATCATTACAATGTATGTCTCTCTAAAATATAAACCTGACTAAAATACTTTTTTATTCTTAAAATACATATATTTATATCATGATCTGGTGGGAAGGATGTGGAAGTGAGATATAGTTGCCACGGAGACTTAAAATTAGTACTGGAAGGAGGAAAACCATTTCCAGACTCAGATTGCTGTGGAGTATTCAAAAGTACTTGGGGGATGTTTGAACTTTATGTGTGCGTGTGTGTCCAATGGCAGTCTCTTTTCAGGAAGCGTGAAGGTAGAGTGGGGAAAGGGAGGGGATTTCAGTGGGTCACCTTGGCAACCCAAAGAGGTCAAGTGCCTTCTGCTGTAAACAAAGTGCTTCTTTTGAGATAAATTGTAAACCTGCAAGATTTGAATGTAAATTTTGTTTGCTTTAGTTCTGTCAGTGATCACATTGTACCAAATGAACAAATTGTGCAATTTTGTTTTACCCTCTTCGCCTTTCTATTTTCAGTCCCTCTGCTTCTCTCACTTAAAAACTAGTTACTGACCATTCCAACAAGTGTAAATTTGTATTTGCAACCAAAAACCCTGGAGGAACACATTTTAGATTATATTTTCATCTAATCTGGTACACAGTATTTGTTTTTCAACTGATTTGGAAATTTGTAATAATAGTGATTTGACTGAGTCTGGAATCAGATATAAACTTTTTTACAAAAAGAAAAAAAGAAACCAATTTCATTCCTTCACTAATTCTTCCACTCCTGGCTATGAAGACGGTTTTAGTTTAAGGGCAACCTACTACTACCTGACTTTAAGCTTAACAGAATAGAGACAACAGAGCAAAGTCAGGCCTCACATTTGGAAAAGAAAACTAAATTCATATATCACTTCAAACTAGTCTTTCAGAGTCTCAAAGACAGATTAACTTTTCTACATTAATCTTTTCCTTTTTCTACTAATATTATTACTTTATAAAGTATGCAGTACCATGCCTTACGGCCTACTGATGCTGCTGTCTAACTACAAAATTGTAGGAGAGGGGATGGTGGGAGAGGTTCAAAAGGGTATTCAAAAATCATAGCTATAATTCAGACAGCCTAAATAAAAGCTCCATAATATTTCATATGCTTGTTTTCCTCCAGGCTCATTAAAAAGCTGTTGTGCGCTTTTTGTTAAGGATTATGTGTTCAAGTGTTCTACCTCACCACCCCTAGGGGGAGCACTAATGCTCCTTCGCCCTGAGGCCCTGTGGCAGGCCAGGTTGGGGTGGGGACCTCATTGAAAGGCCTGGTGAAAGCGAGGCAGAGTGGTCGTACTGAGGCTAGAGCTGAACACTGGTGGGAGTGGGTGCAGAGACCCAAGACCGAGACCCCCACCGGAGCCTGGTTGCTCCTGAGGTTGAGGTTGCAAAGAGGTAAGAGGCACTGCAGCTGTGGCAGCATGTGGTTCGGCAGCATGCGAAGATGCTGACGATGATGAGGAAGAGGAAGAAGAAATGGTGGAGGGCGTGGAATAACCCATCACCAGTCCTCCTGAACTCATAGGGGCACTGTAGGGAGGCAGATTGAGTGGAAGAAATCCCAGCAGATGAGAAAAATCCATGTTAGCAGCACACAAAGACTCAATGACAGCGGGGC